TAATAATAATAATAATAATAATAATAATAATAATAATAATAATAATAATAATAATAATAATAATAATAATAATAATGCACAAACGGACTTATCAAATGGATTATTATCACCAACTTTTATAATAAATCAGAAACAAGGTCCAAGAAGAGAAGAAAGTGGATATTTCTCTATAAATATAAATTCCACCACTGATCCTCCTTTTAATAATAATAACAATAATAACAATTACAATCAAGGACTATTAACACCACCACTTTCTTCGGTTATGCTTTCTAATAATAATAACAATCATCATCATCATCATCATTATTCTTCATCTTCATCATCTTCATCATCATCTTCATCAGGAAAGATAAATTTGAATCGACATAATTTACCGATAAGGCATGCAAGTTATGATATCCCTCATAATGATTTATCATCATCACCATCACAAGGTTTTCCACTTTATAGATCAAGTAGTCAAGGGAAAATGTATCAACCACAACCCGCTAGACGAGTTAGATCGGAAGCTACTTTAAATACAACCAATCGCACTCAAGAAGAATTATTAGCAATGAAATCAAGGCAACTTATTCAACAAATTCAACAACAACAACAACAACAATTACAATTACAACAATTACAACAACAAATAGATGGAGGAAATGGTAATTTGGGAATAAGTTCATTTAGAACACGGGCTACTAGCGTTGGTGGTGCTCAACGACCTCAAAAATCAAAGGTAGAATAATCTAAATCATTTTTATTTATTATTTAATGTTATTTGATTTTATGATTTTAAATTTAATTAATTTAAATTTACAGTATGGACAATCCGAAGATCCCAATATGAGTCTTTTATTACCTCCATCTCCATCAGCTTCAAAATTTATAATCAATAATAATCCACAAGCACAAAATTCACCAACCAAATCATCAACGATACTTAATGCTGGACCTGAATTACGATCATTAAAGATGGATAATTATCGAGGTACAAGTGAAGTATTTGAAGATTTATCAAAGACCACAGATGATTTAATCCAATGGTTAACACTTTTGGATGCTGGAATTAATCAACTTTTAACAAAATTTTAAAGATTTTTTTTATTTTATTTTTTTATTTTTATTATGGTTATTCTTCGAATTCACGAATTACATATTTCCTTACTTGATTGATATTATTTCTTTTTTTATTATTTATTAAATCAGTCATTAGTGAAGGATTATTTTCAACAATTCACCTATTTTTTATTTTTTTAATCATTTTTTTGTACCATAAAAATTTGTTAAACTAATGACAACAATGACAATAGCATAATGATATTTTTTATTTTTCCAAAATTTTTTCTAAATTTTCATTTTTAAATATAGATACATTATATATAAAAAAAATAGATTTTTTTATTAAAAACTTCATTCTAATTGGTCAAAATAATTTCTAAGAACTCACATTACATATAATAATCTTCGGCCGCAGTATTGTATATTGCATGTGACCAGAAAAGAATTCGACTTTAAATTTAATATTATTATTGTTATTATTATCGTGATATATTAATATCTATACCGTGATAGATTAAGTAAAATGATTAATTAAAATGATAATTAAAATATATTTAATGAAAAAAATTATTGTAGCCAAAAAAAATATTTAATAAACCCACTACAATTAAATTTCTGCAAAGTATTAATAAAAAGAATCTTCATTAATTGCAACAATGCAATAGATTTCAGTTATTGGTATGGAATTGTAAAAAACAATTCCGGACATTATTGCAACATAAAGGAATTTTACATGCTACACACCATAATTGACTTCTGTGTGGCGATTTATGTCCCATCTCTATTTCATTTTTGTTTGCCAACCACACGTACCACCTGCATGCCTCACACTCTACAATATGGTTTCTGGGAGATCCGAGAATTCAAAATGTTTTGATACTCTCTCCCATTTCACATCCTTATTCACACAATCCAAATTATTTCCCCTTACTTGAATTTTACCAGCATCATTTGCATAATTAATGAGATCCCAGATGAGTTCATGACAAAATTCTTTTTGCTCTTGCATTGATCTTGCAGTATGAATGATTCGGAATGCATTAATAATCAAAATATCCAAAAGTCAAAAAAAAAATAGGCATCCAATTCCGTCATGCAACTTTCTGCGTACTGTAGTATGAACGTAGTTGATCTGCAAAATCCACACCATTCATGTAATAATTGTAGTCATTGATTATTCTTGGAATTTTCAAAAAATTTTTTGATTCTGAACCAAACACTGCACACACTTTCGTCACGTTAGTACTTGTCTCACTTGGTCAACATCTTTCTCTTTCTATTTCCCATTCCTCACTGGTAATTTCATGAATTGTTGAAAGTATACTTGCACACAAAATTATTTTGGAACCCCAAAATTGCAATTTCGGAAAAAAAAGTTGAAATAGTTTTTCATAAAAGACAAAATTATTTTACTTAAAACCTGAAATTTTTAGACCACCCAGATTTATTCTTTGATTGAATATACATATAACTTGATACTTTTTTTACTTCTATATATAGAATAGATTCTGCATAAATCTCAAAAAGTTGAAATACCTCAAAAATTCAAAATCAATTTTGGGAATATGTAATAGTTGAAAGCATCATAACTGGTGATACTACCTGTTGGGAGAGCAAGGAGGCAAGTACAAGTGCTTAGATTTAGCCTGGTAGTTATCAGTGGGTTTTGAAAATATGAAAAAATAAATAATACTAAAGTAACTGATATTCTATACTATACATGTTCTCAAAATTGATTTTGGATTTTTGAGATATTTCAACTTTTTGAAATTTATGCAGAATCTATTCTATATATAGAAATAAAAAAAGTATCCAGTTATGTATATATTCAATTAAAGAATAAATCCGGATGGTCAAAAAATTTCAGATTTTAAGTAAAATAATTTTGTTTTCTATGAAAAACTATTTCAACTTTTTTTTCTGAAATTGTAATTTCGGAACTTCAAAATAATTTTGCGTGCAGGTATATTCTATACTATAGGGTAATAAAAGGTAAAGAAACTGGGTAAAATAGAGAAGAAGCAAAGTGAAATAATTAAAAAAAAAGAATGGTGAATATAGAGAAAAGAAAATATGACAAATTCTAATCTAAAAAAGATAGGAAACAAAATGGAAAAGTTTCACTAGAACTTTGTGAAGATTTAAAGGATGAATGGATTTAAAGAATGAAAAAGGTAAATTCCAGCTAAGTCACGTAACAGTTTGAGCAAAGAATTAAAGATCAATGGTTTATTTTAAGACTCAAGACTATACAATATAGACTTTATTTATGCTATAGAAACAAATGCAAAGAGAAAAACAAGTATGTATATAATTATTTATAGATAACAATAAAGATTTTATTAAAGAAAAATAAAGAAAGTACAAGAAGAAATAAAGAAAATAAAGTATCTATTCTAATTTTACTTAAAAACTATCTAAAGGATTAATCAAGATAAAGAAAAAAATAACATTATCAATTGTATTCTTAATGGTTATAATAATAATATTCTTCTTACATAAGGAAAAAAAATTAAAGCTACTTTTATAGTTATTCCAATTCTATTCTAAAAATATAAATTAATCTATCAATTGATATATGATGAAAGAAGAAAAAGAACAAAAAAGATAAAATAGACTCAATTCCAGTTTTGCTTGGCTTCTTGATTACTGTGGAGGTGGTGGTAGCTCAAAATATTTGCATCTTCACCTTGGTAAGTGGTCTTTCGTTAGAAAAAATAGTTACCATCTAAGTAAAATAACATTTTTCACAGTAATCTACAGCAGATCACAACATCTGCAATCTGCAATATATCAGAAATTATATGACACGTGACTGGTGCAACTGAAAAAAATTATAAATATAAGTGAAAAAAGAGAAGAAAGAATCAAAATTTTTAGGAAAATTTGGAATGGAGTGAATGGTGGAAAGAACAAAAATGAAATGGATAGTACAAGGTAAGTGAATAAGCAAAGATAAGTGATAATAAGTTTTGTTAAGTAATCTTAGAAAAAGAGAAAAAGAAAAAGAAAGAAGGTAACAACAAATAAAAGAGAGATTATATAGATGAAAATTAAAGATAACGGGATGTGATGAATGAGAATGAGAGTAAAAATATTGTTAACCATGATTCAACCTTCAAGAGATATGATAACTATTAGTTAAAGGTACGGTAGCTAAACTAAAGTATAATAAACTACTAACTAATTTATACTAAAAATATATGATGTTTGAAGGATTTAGATATTGCGGATTTGTTCAAATGAAGCAAGGCTATGAAATTTTTATAAGAGTTTAACTATTCTATTCACAAAGAATATAACTAAACTAAACTGATAATTCTTAACATTAAGTAAAAAATTATAATACAAAAACAATATACCAAGATCACAAAGCAAGGTATAATTAACAAAGGTTTCAGTATTTCACCAAGGAATAATACAGAATTTCACTAAGAAATTATAACAGTATAAATAATAATCCACAAAAGTATTATTTATAAGGCAAATCATAAAATATTTTATTAACAAGAACTGAGAGTTAATGACTGAACTGAAGACTGAACAAAAAAAAATTCAGTTCTTTATATACACGATTGAAGTTATAATAGATTATGCTGTAGACTACACTAATGTATATACTATACTTGCACGCAAAATTATTTTGGGACCCGAAACCTAAAATATAAATATCCCAAAATTGACCTCAAAATACCATTTCAAAATTTTGATATTTCAAAATTAAAATAGGAGTCGAAATTAAAATAAAAGTCGAAATTAAAAACAGGTGTCGAAATTAAAAATAAAAGTTGAAATTAAAATGGGGGTTGAAATTAAAAATAAAAGTTGAAATTAAAATAAAAGTCAAAATTAAAATTAAAATTAAAATTATTAGTAAAAATTTTTA